CCTTGGTGCCCAATGGCACTCTCACTCATGTCAACAAGTTACCCTTGTTCAGATCACAAGCAAGCATATTGTTTCCCCCTGCATATCATCAATTTAAAAAACCCAGGTGATGGGGCCTGGAAAGGAGCCAATGAAATTATCTCTTGAAGTGCAAACGTGGAATCATGTTTACTGCTGGGGAACTGCATGTTATTTTAATTCATTGATCCAGATTTGCTACTTTCACTGACAAGATCTGAAATGACTATAATTTTTGATCCAGGTTACACTTAAATCACGACTGGCTACTGATGTGTATAACACTTACGTCATCACCTCATCCCCTCTGGAGGACAGGAGTTAAAATCTTACCCCATGTGCCTGGAGACACTTCCTCCCCATAACATAGACCTCTGAAAACCAGAAATCTGAGGGGAAGATTCCACCACTTCCTGTCCCACAAGGTGGGAACTAGGTGCATGTGCAGGAGGAATGTTTGGGGAGGAGGGGCCAGCCACCATTTTGGTTTGCCTGGCAAAGAGCACTTGGAGGCCTGGTTGTGGCAAGAAGGCCATTAATAAGCTGCACTTTCAAGGAAAAGTTGACAACACAAACTTTCAAATCCAGCAATCAGGTTTGATTTTAAAGGCTATCTTGCCAACAAGAAAGGCCAGAAACCTTTGGTTTGGCTGCTTGGGGTGAAAGCTGAGAGTAGCACTTACTCCTAAATGGTTTAACCGGGGCCTAGAGTCTTCTTCCATAGAATATAAGCAATGTCCATCTAAGTGAATGAGAGTCAGTCCTATCCGGCGCCAAGAGAAGACTACTCCTGAAAGATAGGCTTGGTCAGGAGTCGAGCTACTGGAGTTTAAAAGATTCCAAGTTTAATAGTGAATGGCTCTAAAGTTAACCACCTGGCTTTTCTAAGAACATGTACAGACCCTAGTTATCATGTGACAAAATTCACTCAGGTGAGGACAGCCAGCCTAGGCCCTCTGCTGCATTTATCTTCAGAGGATTGCTGAGTGGTGCAATGGGTCTGCTACTTGTAAAGCATATCCTGCATCTCCAGTGTGCTGTGAATGGGGTCTTTGTGCTAAGTCAACATGGAGGGTGGCACTGCAAGTGAGGCCATTTACCCAGATCCAGTGGCCCAATGACTCTGTGCAAATGGTAGAAGAGTCCCCTATGTCCATTCCATAGGCCCGAGAAGCAGCCCTGTCCCAGCTCTGTGTTTGGGGATGAGGTTAGATGTCCCATCCCCACCATAGTTCACTCACAAGGCTTCTGCAAATGGGCTTTAGGTGGATGAAGCGAATTTCATGTCACCCATTGAGGACACCTGAGTAAAACCAGCCTTGAATTCCTGATCCAAGTGGGGTTTGAAACTAACAAACTGTTCTAGTACTAACAACACATCAGAGGGTGAATAATCTTTCACTACTAAGATGACATGTTGTGATTTTAACTTAAAAAAAAAAAGGAAATATTACTCTGATGGAATGTTTGCTTGTTTTTACAATTGTGGAACTAACAAATTTTAATATGTTTTAACCAAAGTTCTCGTACGGTACTTAAAACAATGCATACTAAATATACTCCTTTAAATGAGAATTTAATATGTTAGACATTGCCTTGACAATCCCATTGTATTTCAGAATACAAAAAACAACTGGTTGCACAGACAGTTTATTATCCTCTCCTGTTGTGTACATTGATTTAAGTATTCAGAATGACTTTTACCTATGTACATATTTCATCTTAGCTTTAAAAGCCAACTGACTTGCAGTGAAAAAGCACTGTAGTAGCATGGAAATCAACTCTGGTAATCATTTCATTAACAGATAAGGAAAACTACCAGGATAGAAGAACTATGAGAAACATGTTAATTATTCATAGCCAATACAACAAGATAAAACCACATCAATGTTATGTGTGACTTACATTCAATAACTTGTAGACACTTGCAGACAACACTTAGACAATTTTATTTTACTTGCAGCCTTCTTCTGGAAGGCTGAGCGTCTGCAATGCCTATTGACTTCCAGTGGAGTTATGGGTGCTCAGCACCCCTGAAAATCAGGCCCATGGTGTCTCAGGTTGGCCAACCAAGCATTCAGACACACAGAATCAGTGGTTGCTACTGAAAATTTTGGTTGTAGGGTCAAATTCTCTGCTCAGATATATACATGCAACTTCCACTGAAATCAAGAGGACTTTTGCCAGACTCGTTGAGGTGAAGTTAGGCTCTTATTTATGTTTTACATCCCATGAGCCAAATTCTAGATGTGCACAAACTCTTCAGCTTCCAAGGGAAGTCATAGGGGGGCATCTCCAAGGACAGAAACTGGCCTAATGGCTGTCTCTTTAAATGGTTTGAAGTCTTGTGACCAGGGAATATGGAGCTGTAGTTGATAGTTTGTGATTTACAGGATGATGAATTCAAGTGTGTAACTACTCTGTTGCCATGTATGTATTTCTACAGCCAGCAAAAAGACAGGAACACTCTGGGGTATGTCAGTAATTTTTAGTTTTCATGTGCAAATAAATATGGTTCTAGAAAAATAACAAAACACTGAACTTTTATGTCAAACTCCAGGGGTGAGATCCTCACACCTAGTCCCACTCTTTTAGACTGGATAAAAGAGCCAAAGAAACATAAAGGAGCCCTAAAAGTCCTATATTCCCCAGCACAGACACTGCAAAAACAGCTCTACGTCCGCTCTCCAAGGACCACCTCACCAGCCCTAGAATAGAGCGCTTACAGCGGAGCAGGGCTGGAGGGCATGCCTGGGACGGGGGCACAGCATTGTAGAGATTCTGGGAAGTACAGTAGTCCATAGGACAACCCTGATTAGGCTGCTGTAACTTACACAGGTCCCAAAGCTGTCAATTTCCAGCTCACAGACTAGCCCACAATCATGAGGGGGCAGAGGTAGCGGTAAGTCACCAGAGCCTTCTCCCCCCAGGCTGTGAGTTCCGTGCTGCGTCTCTTAGAGACACAGCACAGAATTTTACACCCATAACAGTGTGTGAGGTAAGTGTATGGGCAAGCACAATGCTCTTCAAACAACTAGAGGGGGATAAAAATTTCAGGTCAGGCAATCCATATTTTAATTGTAATACAGAAATGTATACGGTCATTACAGGGCTTCTATTACTCCCTTCTTCTTCAGCCCCTACAAACAAAATTGGACTTATAGTGTATAAGTCCTGGGCATCTAAATAGGGGGCAATGCCCAGTGACTTCAGGGGGCTTGGATTAGGCCCTAATACGGCACATAAACACAAAATGTCCATTTAACCTATTTAAGCTCTAACTGGAGCAGCTGGAGGCAAATATGCCCCCACTGGAATATTGGGGTAATTCTGTTTCATTTTAACCAATGGAATGATTTTGGTTGAAGCCATTATAGGTCAGCTTGACTTGAAACTCATCCAACTATAGAGGCAACTGGAATACGTAGGCTCAGTAATAGACTCCAGCTTTCTCTAACTAAAGTCTCTCCTCATCTCATGGTGCTAATTTATTAATAGCTCTCTGGTGATGGTTATGTAACAATTGGTAATCAGGGACATTCAGTTCAATGTGTTCCTTCTTAATTGCATTAGTGATTTGCTTAAGACTTATGCTTCCTCTTCTCCTGGAGCAGCCTTTGCTTATATATAAGAGAGCTAGTTAATAACTCTTAATGTTATACTTAATCTGTCACGTGAGCTGGATAGATTCTGTTTTGAGCAGATTAAGATGAGCATTTGACTTCTAAGCACAAAATTCAAGTGCAGAGGTTATGGAGGGGGAATATACTCTCCTTAGTAAGGTGAAATAAACATTTTATATATTGTTTGTTGTGGTAAATTCCCATAGGATAGAAGAACCCCTTTGTTCCTGTTTCATGCACGGTCTAAACACATTAAAGCAGCCTTTTATAATCACAACATTTTTAGGAGCCACATCCATATAAACATGATCATCTTCCCATAGGAAAAATGCAAACTTGTGTTTTCCCTTTCAACAAAGTCTCTTTAATGTGTGTCATTCAGGGCCGGCTCTGGCTTTTTGGCCGCCCCAAGCAAAAAAAAAAACAAACAAAAAAAAGGGGGCCGCCAGAACGGCAAAGCAAAAAAAAAAACAAACCTGCGGCGCGGCTGGAGCGCGGGTGCAGGGGGACCGGCTGTGGGGGGAGGGAGCGGGCGGGAGAGAGAGAGAGAAGGGGGCGGCCAGGGCTACACCAGGGGCGCTGCCAGGCGGCCCCTCCCGCTGCGCCGGCTCCTGCTGCCTGCCGGGAGGGCTCCTCTGCTCTGGTCGGTGGGGAGGGAAGGAAGAGGACTGCCCTGCAGGGCGCTCTGGTTCTCCGCGCTGCTGCCTCCTACAGGGCGGCAGGAGCGGAACAAGAAAAAAAAAAAAAAAGCGGCCGTGCCGCCCTAGGATTGGGCAGAATGCCGCCTCCAACAATCTGCCGCCCCAAGCACCAGCTTGCTCAGCTGGTGCCTGGAGCCGGCCCTGGTGTCATTAGCCTTCCCCCTTCCTCCCCCTGCCCATGAAAGTGAAGGTATTTTATGCAGACATAAATTCACCTGTACAACTGCCAAGGCAGACTCAGTAGATGAAGTGCTGCCTCTGGCTTGGAAAACATAAAATGAGCATAGTAGTAACATGTGAAAAGCCAGCAGAAGGAGGGTGCATTACTTACTAAAGCAGTGGGCATCAAAATCTGAAGAGTGATGAGAGAGCTGCATTATGAACTAAAGAAAAATGTCCTCTTGCTATTTACTTATTGAACACCACAGGATTCTACACATCAATCAAAATCCAAACAGCCACTTGATAACTTAGTAATGAATTCCAACACAAGCAGAGGCTATCAAGCTTTCCTGAGCTAATCTAATGCTTCAAATTTTACTTGATTTCAAAAGGACCGTCACTTTATTGTGAGCAAATAAATAAATCAATTGATTCTGTAGCTATTTGCTAACTGTTCAGTTTGGAAGGATTTATGCATATTTTGTTATTAGTGTCTCAAGTTTAGCTTTCCATAATGTGTTGGTTAAAGAACCTCAGCATTTTCCATTGTGCTTTGCTCATCACCGTTCCGTCCACATCATTGTTGGGTAGCGTTCCAGGAGAGCATTTCTGAGTTGCGCCGTGTGGATTTTGTCTCTAGTCTCTATAATGCAGGTGACCTGGGAAAAGAATTAGGAACATTCTTGAAAAGATGACAACATTCTCAGACCACAATGGTATTTCCAACTAAGCCATAAAATGCATTCATAAAGGCTAGATGATCAATCTAAGTTAAAAGCTTCTGGACCCTGCACTCCCTATCTTATAGCAATGCTATGCTTTCTCCAGTCCTCAGAAACAGAATGCTGAAGTCCTCCTTTGGTCCCACCTGTCTCCCCAACCCATCTCCCCTTTACCTCAAAAATGTTTGACTACAGGCTACTCCACTGGCATTGACTGCCTCTCTTCTGACTCTCTCCTGGATGCCCTATAATATCATTCCTGCCCTTTCCAGTAAACTGCTATGAAATCACCCATTACCACCTTCTGGATGAATCTCTTCTCTGTTCTCATTCCCATGATTTGCCTATCAGCTTGGCTTCTTCCTCGCTCCTCTTCGATGCTTACCTCTCTAAGTTTCCATGATTCTGTGCTATCATGGCTCCAATGGCTCCTTCACTATCTCCACTGGACACCCCTTCTCCTCTCTCCTGCTTTTGTCAGCATCCTTTAGGGATCTATCCTCAACCCAATATTCTCTCTACACTACCTTGGGTGACTTCACCTGCTCACATGGTTTACCACCATGTCTCCAGTCCTCCACTCAGTCCTACATCTCTTAGTATCTCTGCTGGACATTCTGCTACTAATTCAAATTAACATGGCTAAACCAAACTCCACATTTTCCCTCCCACTCTCTCCCCCCTTCCACCAGTATATTGACAATTCTCCTATTTTCCCGGTCACCCAAGCTCACAACCTCAGTGTCATTTTCAACTCCCCTCTCACTCATCTTTTCCAGCCACTCACATCCAGATCCTGTCAATCCTGTACAAGCATCCTAAAATCTATTCTTTCCGCTCTAGTTTAATACTGATTTTAATTCCACCTCCTTCTAAACTTTGTGGAAGGCGAGGCTTGGATGGGAAACTGAAATCAAAACCACCGAATATAGTTCATTCTTTTGTGGCACATGCTGTCATGAAGAGCACCAAGTACCTTTTACAATGTACTGTATAGAACTAGCTTGCATAGCTTGTAAGATGCTACACAACACTGCACAATTTAACCTAATGGAGAAGTCGTCTCTCTGGACTCACATAGCAGTTTAGGGGAAAAATACACTCTGCTACTCCAGAAGAGATGTGGATAACGTATGTTACATTTTGGATGTGGCCATTTTTAGAGGAACTCCAGGGGTTTATTGATTACTCTCAGTCACCACTGACTATGCAAAAAGTATGGCTGATGAGTAGGACTCTCCATTATGCTGTTTATATTACAGCTATAAGGAATAGATACTTTCAAGGAAGCAGACTAAAAACATTATTTTTCAGCCTATCATCTCAAAAATGCTCAGTGAAATTCCGAAAATCAGACCCTTGAGCATTTCATACTTCCCCAGCATAAAGTTTAAAATAAAAATAAACACTGAAAAAGCCATTTGAATGGTGAGACACCCCAAAACCCAGCTACAGTCTGTGCCAAGTAGCCCTGAGCTCATTTTTATTGATTATGGTTTCCCACTAGCCAACATGCTCTAGGCAGGGCCGGCTCCAGGCACCAGCCGAGCAAGCTGGTGCTTGGGGCGGCAGATTGAACGAGGCGGCATTCCGCCCAATCCTAGGGCGGCACAGCCGCTTTTTTTTTTTTTTGGTTCCGCTCCGGCCGCGGGGCGTAGGGGGCGGCGGCGCAGACGACGGGAGCGCCCTGCAGCAAGCCCAGCAGGGCAGTCCTCATCCTTCCCTCCCCGCTGACTGGAGTGGAGCCCTCCCGGCATGCGGAACGGTGCGGTGCGGCGCAGCGCGGTGGGAGGGGCCGCATGGCAGCGCCCCGCTGTAGCCCTGGCTGCCCCCCTTCTCTCTCTCTCCCGCCCGCTCCCTCCCCC